ATGACACTGGAGCAGAGGAGGAAATAAACCTGCGGTTTTTACTGAGAACGTTCTGCCTGTCATGATGGAGCTAAACCCCTAAACCCCATCAACTGTTTTAAAAGCAGTGGTAGGTCTGATTTAACAAAATCTCAAAAAGTCACATGCCAAGAGAATTACATTATGAACTCCCAGCAGTGCTGACTCTGTGTTTGAAGAGATTTAAATCATCATTTTATGTTAATCCGGGAAAGATTAGAATTGTAAATTTACAAATTTCTATATAAACCGGTGTTAGCCTGTTTATACAAATCACTGATTCTTGAAACTTTGGCAAAAACCTACTAAGAAAAGTGCTAATTCTATTGGAGATAAATAACATTTTCATAAATAAAAAGAATAAAGGTTATAATCAGGGGCTCCTTTGCATATATGTAAGGTTCTTTTAAAGGTTTATTTTTTCTGAAATTAATTTAATGATTATATGCTGGCCCTTTGCCTACAGAATCCATTGGATAGGAGATAATCATTTCAACTTGATTAAGACAAAGAAAAAGTAATGATTAAATCGAGTAATATGTTTCACAAATGAAAGAGTACATTGTAATATGTATTTAAAACTACAAACAGTGAGTTTTGAACAATATTAACCATTATTTTGTGATTGCTCAAAATGTGTCCCACATATTTGTCACCACCGTCAGATATTTATAAAAAGCAATAAAATCATCAAAGTTCAACCACATTCCTGATGACCCCATTTTCAAATCTTCAGCTCTACTGCATGCTTCAACTTCACTCCTGTAGGTTTTCTATTTTCTCTTTAATATGTTCATATCTTTCAACACTGCTAATGTCACAACCATAACATGTCAACACCGTCTCTATTGTATAAAAAATATTAGATTAGATTATGACATAAATATTAGATTAGATTATGACATAAATCTAATCTAATATTATGAGGTCTGAAGTAGCTAGAAACATATGAAGGTAGATTTGTTTCTTTATTATTCAATAAAAAAAAAAAGTTTAGATAGCGTTCCCCTGTCTAACATGGAGGGAACGCTATCTGACGGGGTGTAGATATCAGGATGAATGATACTCTACTCTGTCAATCAAACATGTCTGACCAAGCACCCACTGCTGCGGAACGTTTGTGTCAAAATTATTCAATCAAAAAGATTTGAACTGCAAAACTTTTTGCACTTCAAAAAACAAACAAAAAATCAAATAAAACAAATTGAATTTCAAATTTCTTTTCACTTCAAAAGAAAAAACATTAAAAAAAAATTATTTAAGGGGAATTTTTTTATTTTTTTTTTGCATTTGCACAGTTTTTTCTTTGATTTTTTATTTTTTTATTTTTTTTATTGAAACTACTTTTTGGGAATTGAATGATTAAGACACAAATGTCCTACCCATATATGACCCAAACACAAACTACATCCTGTCAACCAATGAGAACCTTTTCAACAATAAAAAAAAAGTGTTCAAATGCAATTTTTTGAGTCTCAAATATTTTATTGCATTCAAAAACTATTTCCTATGATTGAAAACGTTTATCTTTTCATTGAAGTTACTTTATTTATTGATTCTGTTGTTTGTTTGTTTGTTTGAAGCAACTTATTTTTTGATTAAATAATAAAGACACAAATGTCCTACCCATTATATGGTCCAATCAAAAAACCATGTTACTTCAATTAAAAAAGTTGCTTTAAACACAAAAAGACTGCACTTCTATCAAATAAAACATTTTCAATCATAGAAAAGTAGTGTTCAAATGTATTGTTTGAGTCTCAAATATATTTTTGCATTCAAATACTTTTTTTCTTTGATTGAAAATTTTTTTTTCCTTGAAGTGAAAATTTTTTTAAATGAAAAACTTTTTTTTGATTGAATAATAAAGAAACAAATCAACCTTCATGGAAACAGGGGAAACAAGATGGCTGATGTGAACAACCCATGCATATCATGTGAAAGAGTAGTTTTTTGTCACCACCGTCAGACGTGGTGGTGACAAAAACCCTACAAATGGTCCTCAACAAAGGCTAGAGTATAATTGTTGATCTGTAATGTTTTCATTAACCTCTTTTATATTTTTATTTATGTTTATGTATGTAAGGGATGAGCTGTGCCTTCCCTCTCTCTGAATTCACTATTATGCCATGTTAGTTTGACATAGCACATAGTATACAATATCCCTTGTAAGCTGTGCATCTCCTATGACTAAAGCCTAATAAAAATGGCATGGCAACATTTAACCAAATCTAACATTTACTGTAATTACCCCCAGTTTCATAGTCCTTACACTCAACTTTGACTTTATATATTTTAGAAAGTTATGGCTAGGCACCAGCTACTTTTGGAGGAGAAAAGGAGAAGAAACAGGGAATATCAAAAAAAGCATAGAGAGAAAAAAATATAGTGATGCAGAGTTAAAGGAGGAATACCTCAGAACGGAAAGGCAAAGATGGAAGAAGATGAAGGAAAGGAAGATTAAAAAAAGATCAGTGACTCAATTCAATCAATGACTTGAATGAAAGGGAAAAGAGAAGTCAGAGAAAGGCTTGGAAAAGGAGACAAGTATCAAGCGAATGTAAGAGAAAAGGCTGAGATCACCCAGAAACTGCCGCAGTCCAGCGGCTCAGGCCATGAACGAGCCAGCCCGGAGTAGACAGGCTGTAGCAGGAGTAGGGGACACTAGACCACAGTTTAACATGATGTCAATGATGCATTGTACATTATTCCTACTGGTAATTACTTTATTTTTTACTAGGATGATTTGATAATATGTGAATGAGCTACTTTTAATAATGATATTGCTTAATTGTGCCTTATATTCCTTGAAAAATGTTTGTCAAAGTGCTCAAGATTGTTATTTTTTGGACCAAATAGTTAAATAAAGTTAATAAGCAGGAAACCGTTGACTTGAGTTATATACAGTTTTAATTGAATGTTGTAATGAGGCCATTGTCACCACTGTCAGTTCTAAAGTCACAACTGTCAGTTCTAAAGTCTTTTTATTTTGTCTGATGGTGTTGACCAAAACAGTAAAACCAAAACACCTATTTTATAAAAAAAAAAATACAAACCAAGGAGGTTGCACCGGTACATTGCTTAACAGCCAAGACCTTGGTCTATAACAATATACCTTCAGATTTTGTAATTCAACTAACTTTTTATTTTCAAAATTAAAACCTGTTTTATCCAAATTCTCAAGAATCAGTGAAATGTCATTGATTTGGTGTCGAATCTATGACATTTACCACAGTTTTAATCCATTTAAGCTGCAGAAATTTCAGAAGGGTTTGGGTTAGTCAGCATCTTTGAAAGCTGCCTACACCTCAGCTTCATTAGGATCTTCATGGCTAAGGTGCTGTGAATACTTTCAGGATCTGTAATGACCCTGTTCTCCACATTTAGAAGTTTAGAATACATTTTTTGTGATTTGTGAATTGCAGTCCTGGGACGTTCGTCTCATGATGGAGCGCTCTCTGGCAATAAAGTGTCCAGATATCAGCACTCACCTGGCAGGAACCAAGAAGGTCCAGCAAGTGTTGGCCAGACCTGGAGTTCTGGAGAAGTTTTTCCCAGACCAGCCTGAGGTGGTGAAGCAAATGAGGGCAACTTTTGCAGGCCTCTATTCTCTAGACATGGTGAGGGCAGTTTATTTTTTATCAAACTACTTTTCCATTCCATTTCCTTACGCTTTATCTGGGGCTGGGTCGCAAAGGGAAGCAGTCTAAGCAGAGATGCCCAGACTTCCCGATACACACACACCTCCTCCAGCTGCTCTGGGGGGACCCCAAGGCGACACCAGTCCAGCACAGAGGCATTGTCCCTCCAGCACATTGTCCTGGGCCTTACATGAGGCCTCCTCCCCATAGGACATGCCTGGAATATATCCATAGGGAGGCGACCAGGAGGCACCTCAGCTGGCTCCTTGACGTGGAGGAGCAACGACTCCGAGCTCATCCCGGGTAACTGAGCTCCTCACCCGATGTCTAAGTGTGCACCCAGCCACCCTGCAAAGGAAACTCATTACAAATTACTTTGCCAATTGAAGAAAAACATAAAAATCCAAACTGGAACATTTTCCTAATTGATTTCTGCTTTGTTTTGGTGATCAGGAACATGAGGGTGACGAAACTGTAGCAATGGCTTTGGCAGAACCGGACCGGTTTGTTCTGAAACCTCAGCGAGAGGGAGGAGGTACAAAAGACACCTGTTGATTGAGAAAGAAAACAGGGAACACCTGGATTTAAAACCACTTGATGTGCCGTTGAATGTTCTCAAACGGTCCATTGATGGAAAATCCCCCAGTATCCCTTTAATTCAGCTTTTCTGCTAACTATTTAATAGACATCTTAATTTGATCCTAGTTGTATTTATTTTTGTTTTGTTGTATTAAAACAGCACAACATACAGTAGAAAGCTGGCCAAGACCCCTCACCCCTGCTAAGATAACTGTTGCCATACAACCAGTTATAGTGTTCTTTGTATTTTCCTCCTTGATCCAGGTCAGTTGGGTTAGCTTTTATAAAAGCTAGCATCATTTTAAAACTGTTTTTGATGATTTTTAAGGTCATCTTTGTCTGATATCATAATATATCTCAGAAGGAATCTATAAAAGGGCCAAAATCTTCCAGAGCACTTCCTTAAAATGTTCTTTAATTATTAAGGAATATAAATATTGAAGCAGATGAGTGTAGTCCTATCTACGCTCCTAGTGTCAATCCTTTATGAACCACTGTGTTATAAAGTGGTTTGAACTTTAATCCATGCCTAATTTTGATCCTATCTCTCTAGGTAACAACATCTATGGCTCCGAGATTACCCGGGTCTTAGGGGAAGTGAAGGAGAGCACAGAGCGGACAGCTTATATCCTCATGGATAAAATTAATCCCACTCCCATACGGAACTACTTACTAAGAGAAGACGCTCCCCTCACAATCAGCAACTGTCTTAGTGAACTGGGAGTGTTTGGAGCATATGTAAGGTACATACAATTTATTGTCTTAAGTCAAATAATTTCTTTTAAGGAAGATAAAGTGTCAGTCATTCTGCTGTGCTTCAAATCTGTTATTTAAAATGACTTAACCCTCTTGATCAAATCATTTTAGATAAGTTTTCTTTTTCAGTCTTACTTCTACATTCTGTCTCCTGTTGCTTTGTCTCCACCTGCAACTCGCTACTGCTGTTGCGTTTTTTTGTTGTTGTTTTTTTATCTTAAAACTGGTAAAACACATCCATTCCTTTTTGCTTTTTTCATTGCTGCTCTTTGCAAAGTAAAATAAGAAGTTATTAAAATAAGGAACTCTTATACAAAGTCTTTAAAAAAGTGTTCATTCATTCTTTAATGTTTTTTTTCACATCTGGAACTTCATTGTGTTTCATTTAGATTTTGTGTCATAGAGCAGAAGTATACCCCATTTACACTACCCTTAAAAAACCGTGCTGAGACTGATCCGAGCTCAGTAACTGAGATAACTTATCGTGTGTAAATGGAAAGCAAACTGAACCGAGCTAACTGCAGACCAGTTCCAGAGGTGGGCTCGGCTCGGTTTTTCCCTGGCTCGNGTCACTAGGAGGCGAGGAGTCGAGGAACCGAGATAGCGTGATGTGTAAACGGTCGTCAGAACCGAGCTCGGCCTGGTTAACTGGTCTCGGCATAGATCGGTTTTTCAAGGGTAGTTTAAATTGGGTAGTAGAAAAAGGGCCGGTAATGAATCATTCAATGGATTCTGGTTTGTTGAACAACAGGTGCGTCCAAATACTAATTGCTCCTGTCAACTGACAAGCAACTATTTTGCAGGTAGCTCCAGCTGTATGGCAGACTATTCCTGCCAAAAATGAAGAGCAAACATTTTCTTTTGGAAAGCAGGAATACCTCCATTTGCTCTCAATACTCCTTATGCTCACATTCAAAACTCCTGCTCTCTCTCAAATATATTTTGTTCTTCATCAAATCTTCATTTCTGCTCTCAGATCTAATGCTTCTTGCACAGATATTTTCTCTTTGAATTCCTTTTTCCTCGAGTGCATACCCGTCAACTCTATTTGTGCACGTTTATAATAGAATGACAGCTTTAGAAAGGGTGCACTTGCTTTCTTCTACTGAGTTTGCCTGTTACTGTCATTTGGAGGAACTCTATATGAAAAGGAACTTCGCAAAGGAATATGAAATCGGCCTCAGTTAAATACTATTGGAGAACAAAAAAAATAGTTTTATTTTATTTGAAACATTTAAAAAAAGAAAACTAATACAAGAAAAAAACTTAACATAAGCCACAGCATACGATTTCGAAGAGAGTATTCTGTTCAGTAAAACGGTGTTCAAAAAAAGGAGAAGGAAGAAGCAATGGCTTGTAAAGTGCCTTGGGATGACATGTGTTGTGAATTTCGCTGTATATCTGAGCTGAAGTTGAATTGAGTAAAATTGAATTGAAAAGAGTAGAATAAAATTGAATAGAACCCATGTCCCCCCTGAGCAGAAGGAATATATTCCCATGGTGCTTATACTTCAATATTATTTTTGGAACAGATTGATGTTGGAACTTCATGCATCAGGAAATGATACCCAAGGAAGAATCAGACTGGAGAAGGTTCACAATTCTCTCCCCTTATATCTTATGTGTCAAACTTTAGACCCGTGTCGAATCCGGTGTCCCAAGGCAAATTATATGACCTTTAAGAGCAAAAAAAGGGATATAATTTCACAAATTGGAGGTATCTGCTCATTTGAAAGTGTGCAAAGTGGCTAAAACTGCAAAATAAATGGGATCAATGATAACTAAAGTATTGTGCTCTTTATAAAGGAAAGGATAAACTCCAAAGTTTTATTTATACAGCTGCAACTAGCCATTATAAGTGTTTGAATTTAGTTAAAATTAGTTTGCTACCCTTTAGTTATCATCTCATCTTTGCATATTTCTTTACAATATCAGACAAAAAAAAGCTGTGTGTTAATTCTCCTCTTATATGTTTCCCAACAGGCAGGGTGAGCACATGGTGATGAACGAGTGTGTGGGTCATCTACTGAGGACCAAGAGTTCAGAGCATGCAGACGGGGGTGTCGCTGCTGGTGTGGCCGTTCTGGACAATCCTCTGCTCGTCTAACAAGCCATTACTCAAAGGCTGAATACAACACAGCTTAGCTACGACTGAAAAAACACCCGGAAGAAATCCTCAAAGTTTATGTTCATTTTACCTCATAGCACCGAAGGTTAAAGCATCCTTCTAATCATTAGATGGTGACTGATTTTTTTCATTATGTGTAACCTGTTATTTTGCAGTAATTTATACAAACCATTTCAGCAGTTTTTGAAGCATGGAATCTTGTTGGCAAGAGTATTTCTGCTCAGACTCTCATCAAAGTAGAACATTTAAACCCAGCAAGGGTTTGAAATGCACACATTTGAAGAGCACACTTTACTTGGTTGACTAAAAGAGACTTTATTTCTTCTTCTTCGTAGATTAAGTTGTGCTTCATGTATTTTTATTATTTGGTCCTCCTTGTAGGGAAATGGAAATATGTAAATATGTTTCATATATATATTCCTCAGGTTGCTATCATAGATTGATTTCTTGTGACATTGAAGCATCATTACGCTACTTGAACAGCTGACTAAGATATAATGTGGAAGTAAGGCTTATCTCAACTTGATTTACTAAATACAGTGAAGGCTGAGGGTGGTTTGTTTTTACATCATGGATTGGATTTAATTTCTATCTGAATAAAAATATACGTTGAAGGAAACTTGTTTAACTCATTTCATCATCAAATGAAATCTCTGAAAAGGAAGAAAGTGGCTGTTAAATTATCCAGTGGGTATTCTTATCTTTCTATTAACTGGGTTTACCTTTTGATTGATTTATTTACATTTAAGATGCTGAGACATTTTCTGTAGGCTAAAAATCACAGAAGAAAATAATAGTAAATGTGGAAATAAGTGCTGCTTTGTTAGTAGGAAAAGGATGTTTTTGTACATGCTGTTGTGATTTTATGTTTTTTTCTATTCCCAGCCAGATGTGAATTTATATTT